GGGAAAAGAGGGGACCCAGGCCCACCCACTACTCTTGGTCTTGGCACAGGAACCCTGTGGTGGTAGCTTTGTCCTGCCCTTCTTCTCTTACCCTTTACTGTACTCTATTGGCCACTTTTCCTGTGATTCTTGCACCCTCCTTGCCTCTGTATCCAAGACTGCAGCCTGTCGGGTATCAGGCTGGAGCTTTTCTCCCACTCCTCTGAGTCTGTCTAGCTCTGCTTTCTCTAAGATGCTTCCCTGGAAACCAGTCCTGCATCCTCCCTGGTCAGGACTCAACTGCCCACTCCTCTACTGAGCAGCAACTTATAACCAAGGCTGCCCTAGCAATCTGTCTTCTAACTGGCTTCTTACAAGCCTCTCCCTGACTGGCCAGAGCTCTGTGCAGGCTTCTTCCAGCCTGCCTTAATCCCTTCTGGCCAGAATGCGGCAGCCATCCCACTACATACAGCTAATTAGTTTTTTGTAAAGCCGTACATAGCAACGTTTACACCTGGAGAGTTGTCTTTATTGGAATAAACACAATATTAGTTTTATTTAAACTCTAGTGCCTCTTTATAATTAATTGGCTATACCATCTATGGTCAATGATTTTTACCAGATTTTGAAATACAGGCAGTCCCCGGGTTACGTACAAGATAGGGACTGTAGGTTTGTTCTTAAGTTGAATCTGTATGTAAGTTGGAACTGGCTCCAGATTCAGCCACTGCTGAAACTGACCAGCGGCTGACTACAGGAAGCTGGAGGCAGAATTGCTCTGCCCCCAGCTTCCTAGAATCAGCCACTGATCAGTTTCAACAGCGGCTGAATCTCGAGCCTGGGACAGAACAGCTGGGCCGCCAGGTAGGTCCCTGCAGGGTTAAGTTGAATCTGTATGTAAGTTGGAACTGGCTCCAGATTCAGCCACTGCTGAAACTGACCAGCGGCTGACTACAGGAAGCTGGAGGCAGAATTGCTCTGCCCCCAGCTTCCTAGAATCAGCCACTGATCAGTTTCAACAGCGGCTGAATCTCGAGCCTGGGACAGAACAGCTGGGCCGCCAGGTAGGTCCCTGCAGGGCCAACCCGGCAGCACCCCAGCTGCTCTACCCCAGAGTCCACAACAAAAGCCTGGTCTGCTGGGGGGGGGCACTAGCTGCGCCCTCCCTAGCAGACCAGGGACACGGGGAGCAAAGCCGCAGCTGCAGACGGTCCCCAGCAGACCAGGGACACCCGGAGCAAAGCCGGGGAGGCGGAGGGGTCACAGCAGAGTCTTAGAGGCGCGGGATCCCTCCGCCTCCCTGGCTTTGCTCCAGGTGTCCCTGGTCTGCTGGAGACGGTCCCCAGCAGACCAGGGACACCCGGAGCAAAGCCGGGGAGGCGGAGGGGTCACAGCAGAGTCTTAGAGGCGCGGGATCCCTCCGCCTCCCTGGCTTTGCTCCAGGTGTCCCTGGTCTGCTGGAGACGGTCCCCAGCAGACCACGGGGACCCGGAGCAGCTTTTCTCGCCCCGGAGGTCAAGGTGGAGGGACCACTGCGCTCTGGGCGGTCCTGCTGCCTGTGAGCTCCGGGGCAAGAAAGCCCTGTTCGTAAGAGTGGATCCGACATAAGTCGGATCCGCGTAACTCGGGGACTGCCTGTACATACTTTATACCTTTGGTATTTGAACTAGTTACTACTTTTACCTGTTATTTCCTAATACTGGATATTTTATAGGATTTTGTGGGGATGGTTTGTGAGAAGGGTTACTATTTTGGTTCAGCATCAGAGATAACTTTTTAAAGAAAAGGTTGTAGCTTCTTTTAATGCTACCATGAGTCAAAAGAAAGAATATTCCTCACTGTTACAGTTTGCAGACAACATACTCTGTCTCCAAGCATAATTTAGTTTAATCCTATAAAAACTCTGTATGGAAAAGGAAAATGTTAAGTCCCAATATGTAAAGTAGACGTTTTCTTTACTAGTATGTTTTTTAACCTTTTTGTCATTTTAATTACAAGGACTGAGTTTCAAAATAGCACTATCTATGTTGTCATTATCACTGAACATTTATTTTCTGTTACTTTGTACAGAAAGAGCGATTGCAAGACATGAAGTCAGAGAAATAGAACAGCGTCATACAGTAGATGGTCCTCGACAAGATGCAGCTCTGGATGAAGATGATGATGTGGTGATCATTTACAACAGAGTACCTAAAACTGCAAGCACATCCTTCACAAATATTGCCTATGATCTTTGTGCAAAGAACAAATATCATGTTCTGCATATCAATACAACCAAAAATAATCCTGTTATGTCAGTGCAAGATCAGGTAAGTTATGTATGTTGAGATAATGGTAAGAATTTTTAGTCTCTTCAGCAGTTTTAATGTTTTAGACAATCATTATGTCAATTCAGTACTGCTTAAGGAAAAGCATTGCGAGTGTGTGCATATGCTCAAAGAATTGTAAGGTGCTATTGTAGATATAACTAAGTGTTATGCTTATAAGAAACTTTTTTAGGGGAAAAGGCAATATGCTGTGTTTATTGAGAATATGAAGTAAAAAGCATATTTAATTATTTACATACATAGGTATACATATTGTTTTGTTGATTTAGTTATTAGTTTGTTGCTTGCATTATTTTAGTGTCTAGTTAGGCTGAGTGCAAGAGAGTAAAGGGGCTTTATTGAGCCAGACAGATGTTTTAGAACAGGGGTCGGCAAGTCTTTTCAAACCGAAGAGCCAAACTACATCAAAATTTAGTACAAGTGGTCAAGAAAGAGTTATATAAGAGTGCTCATTTTCATGACTGAAAATATACAATTTAATATTATGGATAATTGACATGATAATTAATAGCACAAATTAAACGTACTCACAGACTTCTTTTAATGGGACTTATGCTGCACATTCTTTTTACACATTTCTTTGAAGTTTACATCATAACTTTTTCCGTGATACATAGTATCCAGGGCCTCCCATGATGAAATGTGGTGGCTCAGGAAGAGGACGGACTGTGTTGAATCATGGGACATGTAGAGTGACTAGGAAGCCGGCCCTAGAGGAGAATGAGGGCAAGCGGTACCCAAACTGTGACTCCCCAAGAAACACAGTGGCACCATATCCAAATCCAGGCACCATAACTTGGCTTCTGCTCTGGCAGCTGCCCAACCTTGGAGCAGCCGGGCAACCACCATTCAGCCTGGCTCCCCAGTCTCCCACTAAGCCCACCACCACCAGCAGCAGCTTACCTTCCATGTGTAAGGAAGGTGAATGTTGCTGTGCGAGTAGGTGAGTGGGATTAGGTACATACTCTAGTTTAGAGGCAACTCCCAGAAGCTCACAGAAGAGCCTTATTTGATTCCCTATTTGGTTTGCGAGCCATAGGTTGCTGACCCCAGCTTGAGAATTTCAGCAAGATGGATCTTAAAACATTATGGCAAAGCAGCTTTTTTAAAAGAGTTTTTTTTATTGGGATAAGTAAGTTTTGCACTGTTATGGTGTAATTAATTGTTGTTTGTGTGTTTGTTTTTGTGGTTTTTTTTTAATATTATAGCTATTTTATTTTGACAGAAGTAACTATGTAACCCTTGCTTAAATAAAGAAACTATATACATTTTATTTATATAAATAAAAATTGTATGTGTGTAGAGTGACAGGGTCATGTCAGAGGGATACAAAAAAGTAATGGAAGGAAGGTATATTGGCCTCAGACTGAGAAGATTTCTTTTCCCAGGGTAACTGGGAGACGCTAGTCTAGAACTAGCAGAGTCAATCAGGGGCAGTTGAGCACCTGGGGTTAATTGAGTTGGTTTGCAGAGTCAACTGAGCCTGGGCTAATTAGAACACCTGCAGCCAATTAAACAGTTGAGGCTGGTTATAAAAGGAGCTGCTCTGCAGTTAGGCATGTGAGTAACAGAGGAAAGTCATGATGGAAGTAGGAGAAAACAAGCATCAAGTGGATACTAGGAGGATGAGGCTGAGAGAAGAATGGTGTGGGGAAGTAGCCATGGGATCTTGTAGCAGGTGTTGGAGACTTATATACCCAGCTGCTGTTATAGGGCCCTGAGCTGGAACCTGGAGGAGAGGATGAGCCTGGGTTCCCCTCATAACCCACTCCCCATGCCCACTCAGGAAAAAGAATTCTGAGTTTATTTCCCTCCATACGTTAAGCTGGCCAATGATGAGAGGAGCTCAACAAACAGGAAGCTAATGCCCTAGGTCTGAAGCCTAAAATTGAGGGCTGCTGTGAGCCTCCGAGGCAAGCACATCTGCCTGAAAGTGCAGGACCCCCCAACTTTAAGTAGGAGGGAAGGCTCTCCCTTTCTCCCTCTCTCTCTCTCTCTCTCTCTCGCTCTCTGTGAAAATTGCTTTATACTCCTATTAAAATGCAAATAAAAATTAATTAACTCTAAAAAATAAAGCACTATCAAGTTCTCAAAATGAAAGACTTTGGGCTACCAGTCGACCCAAACATCTGCTCCTAAACATCGCTTTTGATGGTCAGGTTGAAGTACTGCAAGACCAATGCCCACTACTACCTGTGATCATGCACTAATTTGGCAGTGTTCCATAGTGCCTGGGCATGCATGACATCAGACAGATGAGTTCTTGTGATCATCAAATCCAGATATTCTACCCACTTCACTTTTCTACCCTTTCTATAACGCCCTTTCCCATCCCTCTTCAGTAACCCTTCTCAGAAGAGTCTACTATGGCAGAAGATGCATTGACTTCTGCAGTTAGAAACCATAGAACCAGTACTCCAACATCCAAAGCAAAGTGTTCTACTCTTGTTACTAATTCCCATGGAGAAAGGAGTTTGGAGACCTGTTCTAAACCTCAGAGTTCTCAACAAGGTCCTCAAAGCTCAGAAGCTTAAAATGGTCATCCTATTGATGATCATTCCATCTCTGGGACAGAAAGACAGGTTTCATGTAAGTTTAGGGCCAAAAAACAACTTTAATATCTCAGTAAAACCAGCTCTCAGATGTTTCCTCAGTTTCACTTTTCTTTTTCAGAATTCCATCAACACCCAGAGTATTTTCCAAAATTTTCTCAGTAGTGGCCACCTATCTATAATCTTAAGGGAAAGTAATCTACTGTTATCTGCGAGATTGTCTCCTCAGACATTGGTTGCTTCAAGAGACTCATCAAACCAGCAGAGACATGATATGCTTATTCACGGAGCTGGGTTTGCAGAGCAGTTTCCAGAAGTTGACCCTCACACCAAGGCAATATGTAGAATTCATTGCGGCTAACTAGACACATTATAAGCAAAGCCTTCCTATCTCTGGACAAGTATCTGTCCTTGGTATTGCTTACCAATGCAACCTTCAAGTGCCAGTGAGAATGTGTCTCCAATTCCAGGCACAGCAGTGATTTCACACGCCAAACATCACATGCAATGCGAAGCCACAGCTATATGACTCAGATTGGTTTACAAGCCAAACCAAACAGGGACAATCTGAACAAAGCCCTGAGAGTGCCCACCAGTATTATGATCTCCCTGGAAGGGTGGAAGAAACTGGTCAGTGTATGCAAAGGGATCTCCATCTTTTATAGGCTCCGCCTTTGTAAGTTCTTACCACTGACATTTCCCTGATAGGATGTAGTGTGCATTTAACAGTCTCACAACATAAGACAAATGGTCACCGATAGAGACTTTCCTACACCTCCATCTCCTTCATTTGA